GAAAAAAAATTAACTTAAATGATTTTAGCAAATGGCTGCAATATAACAAAGAGTGAAAAATTTAAGGGGGTCTGAATACTTTCCGTACCCACTGTATATATAGGCCTACATATATTTATATCAACACCGCGCCACCGGCGGTAGTTGGTCCATTACTACTGCGGTGGTAAAAATCTGCCACCGTCACAGCCCTAATCTTCGGGGCAAATGCGTTTTCGGTTCGCAATCTAAATGAGGTCCATAAATAAGAACAGTGTACAGTTATTTTCTCCGACCTCTAATGACTGAGGTAAATTACCACCTTCAAGCAGAGGATTGCTGTTCAGGCTCTGTTCTCATTAAAATTTGATTTGCAATCAGATTTATTATTTGTTTTGATGCAGTCCATTTGATGCTCTGTAAAAACAGTTAGGGAAATCCTATTTCCCCACAAATGAATGTCTAAGCGGTACTGTGTTACTGCTGCTTATAGGTGCTGTCTTTAAAAAGTGTGCATCTAAATATAAATCAGATTGTGTTTGGACAGAATCAGAACCTTTAGTCATGTCAGTCATAGGGTTGTGACGGTGAGGAAATTTTCCCACTGGTTAATCAACGTGTGACAACACCGGTAATACCGGTATCACCGTGGGGGCGGGGGCGTTCCCTCTTTTCCTCGCTTTCCTTCGCGTTTAAATAGCTTGTAAAAGCTGCGTGCACATTTTACTTTCTAAATAAGAAACGAATGTTTAAAAAAACTTCCAAAATCACCTTAGATAAACAGCAAAAGTCAACAGGCTTTTCAAAAATGGCCAAACAGGCACTTTTGCATCTCGTTTCGAAACTAAATCATACGCCATCGTCTTGTCTGTCTCATCTCACCTCACCTCACTCTTCTTGTCAGTCAGCTCGACTCTCGCTCTCTTCACTGGATAAATGAAATCTGATCTGTGATGTGACTGTCGTTCGGCACGCTGCATTGAGCAGCCGCGTTCAGTTTTTAATTGTAGTGTCTGTTCTTTTACTGAACTAAATTATTTTTATTACTATAAAAAAATCAAAACGACGGTGGGGGTCAGTGCCGCGGTGGGCAAGTGACATAACCGGTGTTGCGGCTTAACCGTATCACTGTCAGCACCGTCTATCGCGGCAAGCCTAGTCAGTCATGCACACGTCCATTCACCAAGTGACGTTCAATGAGTTAAGCAAATATAAATTCTGAAGCCTCATCGAGCCCATTATCCCATCACTCTAATGGTTCGAGTCATCCTTGATTTACTGTGCAGTGTCAGACATGGAGGCAGGGGTCGGAGCAAATGCTTGTGTGCTGTGAATGGCAACCATAACAATCAACTTAAAGGTTCCCGTTTTTGAAAATCACTTCTTTAGATATGCCGTTTTAGGTCCTGTTGAGAACATGAAAGCACTGAGCTTTTAAGTATGTAGCTGTTTGCATGTAATATTTTTCCCACTGTGCTCATCTAACAAAGCAGAAGGAATATTAGGGCCCTATGAAATCTGTTTTATTTTTTTCCAAAGTTCTGTATTTTCAGTTTAAATTTTTCTAAATTCAGTTTTAATAGTTTAAGTTTTTAATAATCAAAAAGGATGTCTAATCAACTGAATTGAAATTTTTTTGACAATTTATGAAACGTTAACACTAATAGTGCCCTATGAAATGATTACATTTTTCTGTAGTTTAAATTTGTATTAGAGATGCACCGATTGCAATTTTCTTGGCCGATTCCGATTTCCGATTTTTTGTTAGTGTGATCTGCCGATACCGATTTTTGCCGATTCCGATTTTCTTTCTAAGAACTATAATTGACAGCATATACAAACAAAAATCTACTTTTCTTCAACGCAAAGTTTTATTTTCATTAAAAAAAAACACAAGTAAAAAGTCAGTAATAATATAAGAACAAATAACAAAAATTAAATAAAGAGAGCTATGAAACTAAGTTTTTCAGGTTAAGTAAGTTTTTATTCAGGAAAGAAATACTACAGAAATTAAAGTAATCAAATGTAATATAACACATCCAGTGTTAATTTACATTTGATTACTTTCATTTCTGTAGTCTTCATTGTAAAAATTAAATACAGAGTAATGCTTACCATTAAAGTTATAAAACGTGTTCAAAGTGATTTTCTTTGTCTTTTGGTCTTTGATTAACATGACAGACAGCAGCAGGAAGATTGGACTGCGGTCCCTTTAAGAGTTTATCCACGGACCCAATATACTGTTACACAACATGCGTTCTCTTTCTCAACTATTTAACGTTCCAAAACTGACTGAGTTTAACTGGATACTCGCCAAAACGGGCATTTTGACATAATTTTTTATGTATTTGAACGTTTTAGCGCAGTTAGCCACTCATTTTGGTATTTGTGACTCACAAGCTGAGACTGAGTGCGGATTGTGCACTCCACTAATATAGATCAGTGGTGGTGCGCGCGC